GGGGGGGGGCGCCCTCAGGCGGGATTCAGGTCCCCCAGGCCCGCCGACGTGGGTGGGAGGGTGGCGGGGCTTTCCAAGCGCCGGACCGCGAGGGCTCAGGGTGCATGTCCGGCGGCATGCGCTGGCCGGGCCCAGCGGCCCTTTGTTTGCGGGGTGGTTTGCCGGCCGGGAGGAGTCTGAGGGGCCAAGGGGAGGCTAACAGGTGCTTCCCGCCCCCTCCGGAGGACCACTGTTGGGGGTGTCAGCGTCTCTGCGCCTACGTGCCCGCCGCGGCAAAGGAGGGGTGGGAGATGGTGTCTAGAGAGTCTGGCCCCAGAGAGTGGAGTTCCCGACTCCACCAGAATCCTGGGCACCCGCCCGGGGCTAGACCTCGGAGTGGCAGAGGCAGGAAGGACCTCAGAGGATCAGGCCCTCTTTCTTTGATATCCAGTCAGAGAAACTGAGGCTCAGAGTGAGGTCTGGCAGTGAGGGAGAGGCAGGCCTCCAACACCTCTCCCCTCCCTCTTGCTTTCCTGTTACCTGGTGGTAAACTGGCCAGGTAGTGCCCACACTCCCTGGTAGGCCCTCGGGGTCTCTGGGTGTGGGGGTGGGCGGTGGAAAAGCAGTAGGCCATGGCGTGCCCCAGGCAGCAGTTAAGCAGCCTTCCTCCCATCCTGGCTGTGTTTCTCTCTTGGGCCATGTCTTGGACAAGCCTCGGTGGAATGGGAACCTGGAATATAGTTCATGGGGACATAGGAAACCATCCATAGATGGAACTGTTACTGTTACCAATACCTCCCAGACTTGGAGAGACCGGACAGTGGGGAGTCAGCCTAGTCCGGAATAGGGTCTTTTAGGACCTACCAGAGCTGGCAAAAGGGGGACAGGCATCCCAGTGGAGTTATGAGATGGTAGTCTTACATTTGGAGCCCCCATGACCCCTACCTTTCTATATTCCTCTCAAGACTGTCATCATGGCCCCCACTGCCTCAAACCCTGCGTCCCCCATGCCCTGGCTGGGACACTGAGGCAGGGCTGGGGCAGAAGCTGGACCCTGTGCCTTCAGGGGTCCCATGTCCCGCTCGGCTGTCCTCAGTGCTGGCTGGAGCACAGCCCCTTGCAGTTCCTCCCTCCCCAAACTGCCCCCTGGAGAGAGCTCCACACCGAGCCTCCTCTGCCAGGCAGCCGGCTCCTGGGCCACCGAGAGGACGGGCCGCCTCAAAGGCTGTCTTTGTTTCAGCTCGGGCGCAAACTAAGAGAAACTTAAGCCAACAACCTCGGGCGAGGTGGGGCCGTTTCTGCTGGTTGTTATTGGGACTGCCCTTACCATTATTGTTGTAATTGACGCAGTGCTCCCAGGGGGTGACTTTTCATGAAAGGAAGTGTTACTTCCTTCCCATCACACCAGGGGTGAAAGGGGCGGGTCGGCGGAGAGATGAGGGGGGAGGGAGGGAGCGGGAAAGGGAGGGAGGGAGAGAGAGAGCGAGGAGATACCTATAGGCGGTGCAGTCTGGCACTAGGTCTCTGACAGGCTCTGTGGCCTTGAACTAGTCACAGCCCAAGCCCCTCTCTGTACCGGGAGCATCTGAGAGCAAGTAGCTCATACTGCACCCCTGTGGCTGTTTATGGAGCACCTGTCCCCTGCCCCCACAGTGCTCTGGACGGTGAGACACAGAGGGGAGTGAGCAGGCCAGGCAGACCTCAGATCTCCCTGTGGGGGGTGTGTGCACACGCACACACTTGGCTGTGGTTTGTGTGGGAAGCCTTGTTTCTCACTTTGTTCTTAGAACATCGGACGCATGGGGGTCCAGCACACCCACCTATGGATGGGGAAACAAGCAGTAATGAAGCAGTGGCTGATTTGGTGAAAGATGCACCTCTTTGGAGACAGAGCCCCTTCCCGTCTCTCCTACCCCGCGCCTATCTGATTTCAGCTTCTCAGCAGAGGCAAACCCACTCCGGGGCAAGAAGCAAGCCCACACCCTTTGAGCAGATAAGGAGCTTGGGGACTCCCTGCTTCCATTAAAAACCCTAGATCTCAGGGTTCAGAGCCTTGGGACAGTCAGATTGCACTGGTTCTGAATCCCAGCTTTGCCAGTAGGAAGCTGCGTGACCTCAGGCGAGTTATTGAACCTCTGGGATCCTTATGTGTTGTATCTGTAAAAAGGGGGACATAGTATCCATTGGGTGGCTAGATTCTGTGAAGCAGTGTCCAAAAATGCCTAGTCCAGGGCCCACCAGGAAGGAGCACTGATTGGAGGTGGTGGAGTGTATGGTACCGAGAGGGAAGTAGGGAATGGCTTGAGAACAAGCAGCCTTCAGGGAGCAGCCTGTTTTGGAGTTAGTGACTTAAACCAACCTCTTCACTGCTGTGGTTTTCAGACCTGGGCGTTAAGCTTGACTTCAACACAAGCCATAGAGTTAAACAGAAATCAGGTTCCCAATGCCAGAAGGGCCTTGGGCATTCCCCCTGCCCAGCACTCTGCCGCCCCTCCTCACTGCCCGGTGAGGCACTGGGTCACCAGGGGCCAGGGGCTCATATCCTGGCCCAACCAGCAGCCCCCTGCCCTCTCCCTAACAGCGGCAGGAGGAAACCTCAGCAGCTGTGGACCAAGTCCTACTGTAGGTTACCAAAGCTTTCTCACACTATTATCTAGCTGCACAAAACCTGAGGAATAAGCTCAACAGGAAGCACACAGGGCCTTTAAGAAGGAACATCTGAGGACAGCAAGGGGAGACCTGAATCTGTGGAGATGTGCAGTCCTGAAAAAGGAAGATGCCGTATCAGAAAGGTGTTATTTTTCTTCAAAGTGATTGCTAAATTTAAATGCAATTCAACCAAAACCCCAGTGGTTTGTTTTCTTTTTTAAGGGAATGTGATAAGATTATCCTGAAGTTCAGACAAAAATGATTTAAAAAGACTAATGATGGGGGACTTGTCCTCCGGATAGTAAGCTGTTCTACAATTAACACAGTGTGCACCAGTGTTGGCCTGCCACAGTGAATGAAACAGAACAGAAAAGTCCAGAAACAGTTTCAAATATATTCCTTATCAGCCTTTAGATTATGGGGAGAGTAGCATTTCAAATCATTGGGGGAAGGGAATCACTCAGTCTCTATTGGGACCACCTCACCACTGGGGGGAAATATGATTAAATCCCTATCTCACACCTTATAGATTCCAGATGTGTTCAAAGTAAACAATGAAATAATCATCACCATTATTGTCATTATTGCTTCCTGGATGGAAAAAGCAAAATGGATCCACCTCCCCATTACAGTAGGGCATGGGAGGCTTTGTGGGCGAGAGCAGGACAGGAACTCAGTGGCTCCTGGCAGCAGCATTCACTCCCCAGCAAGTGGGACTCTCCTGCCTCTTGCAGGCTGGATGTGGCTGGGAGCCTGGGATCGCTGGTCCCTAAGCCGCTTCCCTCCCCTGCAGAGCCAGGAGAGCAGCCCAGCCCTGTGTCAGCTGCATTGGAAGGTGGGAGAGCTGGGAGCCTGGCAGGCAGGGGTCTCAGACTTAGTTTTCCTAGCAGAACCCTTTTCCAAATGAAGATTATCTGGAACCCTGGTCTACAAATGACTGGGGAAGGGAAGGTTTAGGGGAGCCAGGGACAGGACAGAGGGCTTCCTGGAGAAAGGGGGGCTCTCCCTCAGCTAAGGCTGTGGAAGCAGGGGGCCCAGGAGGCCCTGCCAGGGCAGAGAGCATGCTAGCTAGCCTGGTTGGGAGAGGAGGGAGGCTGAGTTCATTTGGGGACTCAGCTGGATACAGAGATAAAGAGAGCGTTTCCCTTTGTGGCTCTAGGCAAGAGCCCGAATCCTTTTCCTGTCTGGGGTTAAACAGCTCAGATTGGTGACCTCCTTTCCAGGTAATCTGAGTACCCGACTCCAGGAGGTTTCCCTCAGTGTGGCCCAGGCAGAGCTCACTGACTCTGGAACCAGGCAGAAGGGACAGAGGTCCTCAGGCCCGGTGGCTCTCAAACTGGCTGCCCTTTGAGATCCGCTAGGGAGCTTTAAACTCTGATGCTCCTTGCAGAACCTTAAATCAAACTGGGGCGGGGGGTGGGGGACACAGTTATCGGTGTCCTTAAAATGCTCCCTGGTGATTCTAATGGGCCCTGGTCCTACCACCTTCTTCTTTGGAGGCCAAGGGTGCAGCTTGCAGGGGCACGTAGCAAGCTTGCAGGCAGGCTCCAGTGAGAAGCCGCCGTAACACCCCATGGAGGACTCAGGATGGAGAGAGTCCTTTGAAGCTGGACCAGGGGGAAAGAAGGCAGAGAGGGTGTGAAAACAGGGGGGGTGGGCGGCAAGGAGAAGAGCTGGTGGAAGCAGGTGCGCCAGTGACCCGGGAGACTTCACCAATTCGGGGGCAGTGAGCAAAGGACTCAAGGGTCTTTCTCTCCCGTTTTGCAGAAGTGAAGACTGAGGCACAGAGTCACCCGAGAACTCAGGAAGAAAGGCATCAGCCTGCTGGGCGGGGTGGGGGGGGGTTCAGTTGTTAACACTTAGTTATTTCTGGATATTGACCATGTCTTGACTGGTCAGAAGCCAGCCTGAGAGGAAGGCCCGAGTGTCTTTCTTTTTGACAAGCTTTCGCATGGGTTTCTCCTCCAGGCTTATTTGGACTCTCCATCAAGGCTCTGCAAATCCTGGTGGTAACAATAGCAGCCACAGTGGTGGCCAGGCCTGGCCACTTGGCCTGGTGGTCAGACAGACCTCGTTTTGAGCCTGGGTCTCCTAGGAAGCCTCTCTGGCTTCAGTTTCTGCCTCTTTAACATGAGCTCCCTCCTGGGACTAAATAAGAGCGCATACGGGGAAGAGCCAGGGCCCCACCTTGCAGGAACCAGACGGGCGGGCGCAAGCCCTTGGGTGAGCAGCTACTGAAGGGGACATGTGGCCAGAGGCTCTGGCCTCGGGGGTCACGCTGGTCTGGGTTTATGGTTGTTATGGAGATGCTTTTTCTCTCTAGGACAGGAGGGGACTCTCACAGGTGCCAACAGGAAGGATTTCCTGAGCTGGAGCAAATCAGGAGAATGGGACCGTTCACACTAGGCTAACAAAAAGGAAAGGCTGGTTAGAAGGAAAGAGAGGGTGATCTGAGACGTGGGCTCCGGAGCTCAGGTGCCCTGCCCGCCTGTCAGCGCGCCTGAGGCCGGTTCCCCGTTCCAGGGGTTTTTGCGGGTTTCTGCAGCCATCAGTTCATGGCTGCCCTCAGTAAAATCCAGCCCTGCCCCATGCAGGTTGTTGGGAGACTCGCTCCCTCTCCCTGACACCTGGCACCCACTGTGCGGGGTGCTGGCAGACCTCACTGAACCGGGGTGGTGGGCAGGAGTGCTGTGCTCGGCTGGGGGCTGAGAAGGGCCGCCCAGAGGAAGTAAGTGGCTTGTCAGGTGAGACCTGAAGGGTTACCAGACCCTTGCGGGTGGGAGGAGTAAATGGCCTCATTAGGGGCAGTTAGAGTTCGGCGGGCGCCCCTGGAAAGATCCAGTGTTTCATAACCAGGAGCTTCCAGTCTTCTCGATGATTCCTGGAGGATCCAAGCACTGCCCCGGTGCCTTCGGACTCACAAACACAGGAGCCTCAGCCGCTTTCCCAGTTCGGCTGAGGTGCTGTGAAAACGTTCTGCCTGAATGTGGGGCAGGTTTTGGAGACAGGATTTCCCTGAGCACCACAGCCCCACCCTTCACCCTCCTCTGACTTGACCCCAGGGTGGTTTAGGGTTTCCCTCCCTCCCTCAACGTGGGTAGCTGGCTGGAACAGAGGAAGGAACAGCAGCAGGCGCGGGGCCCGGTTGGGGGTGAGCCCCGCAGAGAGGAGGGAGGGCAGAGTGGGCCACCAGGGTGAGCCCGTATTTGCGTGTGGAGGGCCAGCCTGCGTGCAGTCAGGGACCAGGGGGCAGAAGGAAGAAGTCGCTTCCCACCTGGCAGGTTCTGATGGAGGACGGGAGGACCCACCACCTCTCCTGGAGGACCTCTCCTCACTGCCTGTTCTTCAGGCCTGCATCTCAAGTGCTCTCTCTCTCTCCCTCCCTCCCCTATCCCCCTCCCCTTTGCTCCTCTCCTTGCAGCACCTCCTGTCAAAGCGAAAAGGAAACAGTCAGAGGAGGGTGATCCCCTAGACCCATCTGTGTCCCCCCAACCCGATGCTGAGCAGAGCAGAAGCCAGAGCCCCGTCCATCTGGAGGTGAGTTGGGTGACCCCTGGGGAGCCTCCTCCCTGCCCTCCCCCCTCCCCTGTGCACAGCCTCCCAGGTGAACTTGGGGACTCCCCAAGCTCTCAGGAGGGCGTGTTCCCTACCTTCCAGCCTGCAGAGCCAGGAGAGGGACCCAGCCCTGCGGTTTCGGGCCTGCATCAGGAGGTGTGGGAGCTGGGAGCCCGGGACAGGAGGACCCGCCCGTCACCCCTGGGAGGGGTTTCAGACTTAGTTTTCCTAGCAGAAGCCTTTTAGCAAATGATTTGCCTGGAACCCTGATGAATAAAACAGATAAAAGCACTCTTTTAGGATAAGCCACACGTACATCCATGCATCCCTCCAAGTTCACAGCGTGGATATCAAAGTCACTCAGCGAGACCACTGAGGCCATTTTGGTGAGTGTAGTCTGAGAGGGAGCCATGGGTGACGTGGAGCATTGGCCTCAACATCCACTCCTTTTGGCCGTTTGCTTTGGTGGCACAGTCTGGAGTAAGAATCCTGATTCACGTAGCAGAGTAGTTGCAGATGCTAACAGTTCTTAACAGCTTGCGTGGAAGAGCGAATTCACGGGAAGAGCGGCCGTGAGAGTGCCTTCCTTCTGAGGCCTGCACCAGACCAGCTGCCGGGGTCCCCCCATAGGTTACGGTTTCTTAGGTGACTCGTGAGTTCGTGTGCCATTTGTTATCAGGGGTCAGAAACACTGCAATGGTACTCGAGTATTTGGGGAACACATGACTCTCTGTATTGTTCCCGGCCCCAATGACTTACGTCCTTCCGGTGTTTGGGGCCTCCCCATCCAGGACCTGGGAGCTGTCTGTTCTCCAAGCCCTGGGTCCCAGCCCAACCATACCCCTCTGCCCTGAGCCACCAACCAAATGAATAGCCTTGGCAGAAATTGCCCCTCTGGAAGCAGAAACCGAAAGTCCTGCGCATCTGACAGCGGGGTGTCAGGAACCCGGGATGGGGCTTCGCCGCCCTGGATGCAGCACGCAGACTGGCGGCTCAGAGAGGCAGCCCACCACGGCAAAGGCTTGGGGGACACGCAACCCCGCAGTGCCAGAAAACACCGGGCACTTTGTTCCTTCGGCTTTGACCACAGTCTGAGGCCGCCACCAGGAGCTCACAGTCTGGTAGAGGAGCTGAGATGCAGACACAGCAAATCTAGAGCAAGGTAGAGAGGCGGTCTGTGCCTGCAGAGAGCCCTAGAAGCTGCGGGGCTGCTCCGGTGGCCGTCGCTGGAGCCGGGCCCCGGTGGACCCTGACCGTGGGTCCTGGGCGCTAACAGCTGACGGCTGCACCTTTCTGATGCCAGACACAGGCACTCCAGCCCAGAGCTGTAAGCTGGGCGCCGGGGGCCTGCTGCTTCCTGTGGGAGCCTGGGGCTGGGGGCCACACCCCCCTCCCGCCCCAGCAGCCAGCCGTTCCGCCTGTCCCCAGCCACCCACCAACTGGGGGCTCACCCCAATGCCTCCTGTTCTTTCCCCAGGACTCCCCCGAGGCAGGCGGGGAGCGGGAGGAGGAGCAGGCCTTCCTGGTCAGCCTCTACAAGTTCATGAAGGAGCGACACACGCCCATCGAGAGGGTGCCCCATCTCGGCTTCAAGCAGAGTGCGTCCCTGGGGTGCAGGCAGGGAGGGGGAGCCCGGCAGGGGGTCCCATCCAGGCAGGGTGTCGGGCAGGCACCTCCACTCTGGGCAGCCCTGGGTAATGCCAGCCGACAGGGGTTGCACACAGAAAGGACCCTCCACCCCAGGCGCAGGGCTGCAGTGGGTGGGGCCGGATTTCTGTCCTCACCGGCCACCGGGCCCCCAGTGCTCAGGGTCTGGCCCAGCCATCCCTTGCGATGGCACTGTCCGGGCGCTTGCTGGTTCCGTGCCCGCCTGACAGATCCATGGGAATGGGCTGCTGCCTGCCCCTTCCTCCCACAGAGACTGACAGGGGCCCTGCCCTCTCTCTTCTCCAGTTAACCTGTGGAAAATCTACAAAGCAGTGGAGAAGCTGGGGGCCTATGAGATGGTAAGGAGGGGACCTCTGAGTCTTCAGCATGTGGCATCCCGCAGCCCATCTGCACTGTGCCATGTGGGGACCCGGGGAGGAAGAGCCTTGTCTGGGGACAGAGCAGTCCTCACGGCCAGACAGGAGGAAGAGACGGGGTCCCAGGTCCTGCCGCTTGCGCAGCTCTCCTGCATACTGTGCGGGAGGAGGCCTGCCTTGCCCACTGGTACTTTGCTGCTCAAAGCAAGTTTTCCTGTCTTCCCATCTGTTCTGTCTGCCCCATGCCCCCCGTGCTGGGAAAGCTGCGGGGCTGGCAGTCAGGCAGCGGCCCCTGGGAGGGAGACCTGGCTGGCGGCCAGGGGAGCCCCCCTTCCTCCCAACCTCACCCCCACCCCCTGCTGCTGGAGAAGCAGCTGCAAAACTGCAGTCCTTGCCCCCATCCCTGCCAAGTAGGGGCCTGGAGCTGCCAGGATGCCCCCCCCCGCCAGGGGAGCGCACGCCACTCGTGCCCTCACACGGTGCCCTTGCAGGTGACGGGCCGCCGCCTCTGGAAGAACGTGTACGACGAGCTGGGGGGCAGCCCGGGCAGCACGAGTGCGGCCACGTGCACACGCCGCCACTACGAGAGGTACGGCTGGGCGGAGACCCCGGCTCCAGGACCCTTCAGCCCCAAGTGGGGCCGGGAGTGGGGTGCGGTGGGCACACAGCACGAGCTGCCTGAGCGGAGTGCGCTGTGCTCATCCCAGCCTGGAGCTCTGCGGGGCGGCCGGGCTGCGGGCCCCTGGACAAGGCGAGGAGGAGCATGGGCCCCGGGGGCCGGCAGGGGTGTCCCCGGTGTGGGGAGGCCGGGTGGGCCCAGACAGCTGGGAGGCGTGGCGCATGCCTCCAGGCCGGCCTCCTGGTGGACACGCGGGCCTCCTCCTCAGGCTGGTGCTCCCGTACGTGCGGCATCTGAAGGGGGAGGACGACAAGCCGCTGCCCCCGTCCAAGCCCAGGAAGCAGTACAAGATGGCCAAGGAGCCCCGGGGGGATGACGGGGCCCCTGAGAAGCCGAAGAAGGCCAAGGAGGAGAAGTGGTTGGACCAGGTAAGGCCTGAGCCCGCCTGGGGCCACCAGCAGACGCTGGGCCTCCCTCTCCCCGCCCGCGCCATGGATGCAGAACTCCCTGCCCGGGGATACCCAGAACCTGCTCTGAGGGCAGATCGGCGGGGATGGGGGGGGGGCGGTGCTCAGGGGCAATGTTTGCGCAAGTTCAAATGAGGGGCCACGTCGGGTCTGAACTCCAGTCTGCACCTTGGTCACCAGGCCCTGTGTCCTGATGCCAGGCTATGTCTGTTCAGAGGCCAGGATGCCTTTGGGGAACTTCTCACAGAGGCTTCTGGGTACGCCTCTGTGCCCCTGCTGCCATGGGGTCCTCCCCGCCACCCCCCCACCCCCCATCAGGGCACACGGCTCACAGCCAGCACTGAGGCATGGCCTTTTCTCCTTCTAGATGGTACCTGGAAAGACGAAAACCGACGCCGCCCCTGACCTGGTGCGGCTTCCCAGCCAGGAGCCCCCCCGGGAGGGCCCGGAACAGCCAGGCCCGGCCCTGGGGCCCTCTCTGCCCTTCGTGGGTGCCGGAGGCTGTCCTGAGGCCTACAAGCGGCTCCTGGCCACCTTCTACTGCAAAGGAGCCCACGGCATCATGTCTCCACTGGCCAAAAAGAAGCTCCTGGCCCAGGTGAGCAAGGCAGAGGCCTTGCAGTGCCAGGAGGAGGGCTGTCGCCACGGGGCAGGCAGTCCCCATGGGGACCCCCAGGCATCCCCAGCTGTTCTCGTGCCGGGAAGTCCGCAGAGCCCGGGAAGGCCAGCTGAGAACTCCAGGCACCGGCTGACCCCTCAGGAGGGATTACAGGCCCCTGGTGGCAGCCTCAGGGAGGAAGCTCAAGCGGGTCCCCGCCTGCCAGCCCCCATCTTCACTGGCTGTTTCCATGCGTACCCCACTGAGGTGCTGAAGCCTGTCAGCCAGCACCCCCGGGACTTCTTGCCCAGTTTTAAAGATGGGGTGCTCTTGGGGCCTCCTGGCAAAGAGGAGGGCCTGACGGTGAAGGAGCCCCAGCTGGTGTGGGGCGGGGACGCCAACCGCCCGTCTGCATTCCATAAAGGCAGCTCTAGAAGGGGCAGCCCCTACCCCAAGCCCAAAGCCTGCTGGGTGTCCCCCATGGCCAAGGTCCCTGCCGAGAGCCCTGCTCCCCTCGCTACCTTCCGTAGCAGCCCAGGCCTGAGCAAGAAGCGCAGCCTGGAAGAAGAGGGCTTGGCCCATGGCGGCAAAAAACTGCGGGCCGTGTCTCCCTTTCTTAAGGAGGTGGACGCCAAGGAGTGTGGGGCCAAATCCATGGGGTCTGGCTTGGCTGTGTCCTGCCTGCTGGGCCCAGCGCTGGGGCCTGCCCTCCCCGAGGCCTATAGGGGCACCATGCTGCGTTGCCCACTGAACTTTGCCGGCACCCCGGACCACTTAAAGGGCCAGGCCACGCTCCCCTTCAGCCCCCTGGTCATCCCTGCCTTGCCGGCCCACTTCCTGGCCACGACAGCGCCCTCCCCCGTGGCCACGGGTCTGATGCACTTCCCCCCGGCGTCCTTCGACAGCACCCTTCGCCACAGACTTTGCCCAGCCTCATCTGCATGGCACGTGCCACCTGCCACCACCTACGCAGCACCCCACTTCTTCCACCTCAACACCAAGCTTTAGGTCCGAGCCCCAGTGCTGTGCTGTGCAGGGTCTGAAATGGCCTGTGCTGGGGGGCACTGCCCGGGGTCTGGGCTGGAGCCTAGTGCCCAGGAGAGCTTGGCTGTGCGCAGAGCAGGAACGCGCCCCTGTCTGGGCGGCCTGGCACAAAGAGGGAGGCCGTGGGAAAACCGGGTTTGTCTCAAGGAAGCAGCCTAAGCCCGGGGCCCCAGTTGCGGGGCATCGGGAGAAGACAGTGCCCGGCTGGCAGCCCCCAGCTAGGTCCCCAGAGTGGAAGCCAGGAACGTGCTGAAGGGCTGAGGCGCTGGGTAGCAGCTTGAGGTATCCAGGCTGCCCGTGGAAAATCCAATAAAAGACCAACGTGAATCCACCTGGCCCTGAGGTGTGCATGGTGTGGACCTTCCTGGGGGCAGGGGAGGCTGGGGTGTGCTCATGGCTGGGGGAGCCAAAGAGAGAGACCTACGAGCATCCACTCAGATCTGAAATGCCCCCGCCCCCACCGAAGAGCGGGACCCAAAGCAGGACTCAGCCTCCTGTTCATACTTCAGCGGGTGGTGACCTTTATCCTGTGCCTTCTACCCACTTTCATAGGAGAGTCTCAGCACAGCTGCCTGTTACCTTCCTCATCATACAGGTGGGGGTCTGACGTTCAGAGAGGGCTGGCGACTTGCCCTTGTTCCCCCAGCAAGGAAGCGACAGCAGAGTTAGGCTCTTGGGTGTGACTCCAGTATCCAGAGCAAAGCCACAGGACCCCGGTGAACAGTAGGATGAGCCCTGCAGCTGGTAGCAGCCCCCCTGGGGGCAGAGGGGGTGAGCAGGGAACCTGACTTGGTCTGTCTTGGTGATGGGCTCACAGGGCTTGCTGCTGATTCCTCCCAAAGCCCCCATCCCACTCCCCCTCGCGTGCTGCACAGAGTTGGACCAGGATGTTCTTGGCGGTGGAGGCGCCAAGAGGCAAAGGGGAGTGAAGCAGCCAGGATCTTGGCCTGGGCATCTGCGTTCTCAGCCACGGTTGCTCTGGGGGCTCAAACCCTGCAGCCTAACACCCTCCTTCTTAAAGGCTCTGTTTGGGGAGCAGGGGGGGCCATCTGTCTCAGTAGGAGGGAGGTAGGACCCCTTTCCGAGGCTTCCCTCCCCTCCCCAGGCTGCCTGTTCTCCCTGCCAGGCGCCACAGCCTGAGGCAGTCTGATGGATGCAGGGGTAGTAGGTGTGGGGCCAGGCCCCCAACCGCCAGCCTCAGATTGGTCAGCGGTGGCCTTTGACCTCCTCCGCTGGAAGTTGCCCTGCCTCCTGGGGCACTCAGGAGCTCAGGCCATGGGAGGGGCAATCTATGTGATGACAGCCCCCCCCGCCCTACAACAGTTAACAGATGAGTAGGCTGAGGCCAGGGATGGGCTCTGTTTGCCCAATGCCACCACTGAGTAGGACAGAACCCGGACCAGGGCACACACAACATATCTAGCACCAGGGGGTGGGCTACCCAGGCTAAAGGCATCCCATCCAGCCGCCTCTTGCCTCCAGCCTCCGATTCTGGAAGCTGCCTGTGGAGGGGGAGCTCAGATGGGGCACAGGCCGGGGCCAGCAATGGGGTAGCCAGAGGGTGGCGGTCACCATTCTTGGCTCTGCAGGGGGTCCCCCAATTCCCCACCTCCCTCCTGGGCAATGCCAGGTTCCAGCCCGAGTAGCTACCTGACCTCCAGTCCCGAACCCCCGGTTCCCACACACACCCGCATGCTGCCCATCTCTGCAGGCTTCTGGAGTGGCGGACAGCTGGGGTGGGAGGGCTGAATTCTCCTGCCACCCTCACTGCAAGCGCCCTCGGTGCCGGGCCAAAGGCTATGGGGTCAGATCCCCCTGGGGAAGGGGGAGGCGAGGGCTACTTGTTCTGTGCAGGGTCCCGCCTGAGATGGGGCAGGGTCGCTGGGGTCCCTTCCATCCGCAAAGCCACAGCGGCCTCGCTCTGGCACAGAGGTGGGAGGTGCGCGCCTGGCGGCAGAACTTGGGCACAGAAGGTTCAGAGCTGTGCTGGTGGTGCCCTCTGGAGGCTGCTCCGGGGACTACACCTTTCTTTGAGAGGCGGCCCCGGCCAAGCCTGGTCCTTGGGCAGGAGGCCGCCGCCCTTGCTGGGGCGTCACCAAATCCCCACAGCTTAATGTGGGCATGCTTCTTGGAACACTCCTGTGCCCTGCGTTTCCCGTGTGACGCTTTACGTGATTTTCCTCACTCGCCGCTCACAATTCCCGGCGAAGGTACCATCCTGATTTACAAATGAGGAAACAGCTCTGAGAGCTCAGTTAGCTTCAGCCGCGGCTGCCGGGAGTGCCCGACGCCCTTGCAAGGGCGTCGTGCACCTGCTTCCATCTAAATGGACAGGTGCGCTCCAGGTCGTCTTGCTTTTCACACTCACCCCTTTGCCTTCCTGCTGGGTCCCGACGGTCCCCGACTCTGCCCTGGGGACTGGCCAGAACCTACGTTTGGGGCATAAACCAGGTTGCGGGGCCGTGGCGTTCAAGCTGTTGAGGGTGGCGGCAAGGGCGGGCTTTGGCAGCACGTGTACCAAGATCGGAATGAGGGCGGCGGTGAGTGGGGCGACTCTGGAAGGGACATCCCTACAATCCCCGCCCCTTTGCCTGGTGACAGTTTTAAGGGTACAATTCAGCAGCATTGACAGCATTCACGGTGTTGGGCTGCCGTCACCACCATCCACGTCTGGGGTGCAGAGTTTAAACAGAGTGGCCAGGAGGTCTCAGTAGAAGGTGGCATCTGAGCAATGGCTGGAGGAGGTGACAGAGAGAGCCGTGCAGCTCCTGGGGGGAGAGCAGAGGGACCAGGACGACAAAGGCCTTGGGTGGGAGTGGGCACGTGTGTCTGAGGCACTAGAAGACCTACGGGGTTGGAGCAGGGGGAGCTGGGGGAGAGATGGGGCTCGACAGGTGCTGAGGCTGGATGTGTGGAGCCTTCTGGGTCCCAGAGTGAGCTGTAGCAGAGGAGGGTCCTGGTCTCTGGTGCTCACAAGAGGCCTGTGGTCTGGGTGGGACTCGGTGCTGGGGGGTGGGGGTGGCGGGGAGCCCAGCCACAGAGACACAGGCAGCATGCCTGAGCGCAGGTCTGGGGTGGGGGAGGGGGAGCATGGACAATTCTAGTGAGTGCTTTCGTTCTCCCAGGGAGCTCTGGGCACTGGGGCACTGGGGGTGGGAGGTCTGAGGAGGGAGAAGGGCAACTCCAGACCTCCAGGAGAGCAAGGCTGCACAGGGCAGGGCCATGGAGCTTCTGGAAAGTCCCAATTCCCACGCAAAGAGGCTAGTGGCAGGAGTGTCTGTGGGACTAGCAGCAGTGGGTGGTCTCCCTGCCACCTGGGGCCACTGGCTGCGGAGCTGGGGGTTGGAGTGGGAGGTGCCGTGGGAGTGGGAGCTGCACCCAGAGAGTCTGCTGAGCAAGGACAACCACAATGGGGGGGCTCCAGAGTGGAAGTTGGGGGGACGAGTGAGGGACCCAGGACGGGTGGGACCAATGGACCATAGATCCTAATGGCTTCAGAGGGAGGATGAGGGGGTGGCTAAAACTACTGTGTTGCCAGGTGAGCTGGTGGGAACATGCACGGAGCGGGGGAGGGTTGGTTGTGTGGGGTGGGGGGTTTGCGAGGAGGCCAGGGTGTGGGAAGCTTTGAAATCAGCACAAGAGCACAGCAGTGGTTTGGGGCAAGGCCCACCTCTGTGTCTTCGAGATGGAGAACTGAGGATGGGGAGGAGGGACTGCAGCAAGGACCTGATCAGGGTCTCCTGGCATGACCTTCACAGTGGGGAGCCACGGGGTCTGGAAGCAGGGGTTCGCTCAGCACCCTCAGGGCAGAGTGAAGTGTCCCACCCTGGAGGCAGTGGCAGGGGAGCATCTCAGGGTGGGCACGGCCCCGGCTGGCAGGGGAAGCCCCCCAGGGAAGAGATTTCCATTTCAGCTCAAGACCAGGGGCTGCCTGCAGATAGTGGCCTGAAGATGTGTTTAGTTTGTTTGACCTCTGTAATTTAAATAAATGTTTTTGTAACTAGTTGCCAGCGTTTAAAAATCAAGAGATTTCACATCAAATTTTGGATATCAGGCTTCTCTTTAAAAATTAGAATTTCTGGCTGCATGAGACCATTTCCTAGAGCTCGGTAGTGGCCGCTGCCTGGTGGACAGGGTATACCTGCTCATTCACTACAGTCCCCGCAGGCCCGCTTGTCCTCAACCCCAAGGGACCCAGCCCCAGCCAGGCCACCCGTCCACCCCAGGCTCCCCGTTCCCACCGTTCAAGCCAAAGTCCTGCTGCTGCACAGCCACTAGGCGGCAGCTCTCGTTCTTTGTTATCCCAACATGAGTTTCCTAAGCCAGTGACTCCAAGAAGGTCACCGCTGGGAAACTCAGGCGGGCTTCCAGATGAGACGGCAGGGCAGAGTCAGGTTGTTGCCACGTCTGCTGGGCACGTCCCCTGGTGCACAGGCCAGCAGGGGCAGGCCGTGGCGGGCTGGACAGGGCGTGGGACCCCATCCTGCCCACCTCCTGAGCTATCCAAAGCCTCTGCCTCTCCCTGGGCCACATCTGTGCATTTGTGAAATGAGTACGGTCACTTCCAGGTTCTGCTCTGTGACCCAGAATGAGATGCAGATAGGGTCTATGGACTGATGAAAGGCCGGTGACCGCCGCACCTTGAACACACTCCTGGTCCTGAGAGGACCTTCCCAGCTCCTCGGGGCCCCTGGCTACTCCTTGAAAGCGCACAGCAAGTGTCAGCTGCTGCCCAGCCTGGTTATGAGCTCCCCCCGCCCCAAACCCGCAGGGAGGGAAGGGGCCGCTGAAGGGAACAGGGAGAAGGGGCTCCGCAGAGGCAGGGGTCTTAGAAGGGTGGCTGCACCACCAGCCCCACTCCCACCCCTCCCTGCAGCACGCTTCCAGCCCTCTCCAGGGTTCCTGCTTGGCTTTGTCATCCCTCCCACCCCTTGAGGGAGCAGCAGGGTGGGGAGGAAAGATCGAGGAGCTGGAAGCCAGAACACAAGCCCTGAGACTGACGCCCCCACAGGTTCAATGAGGGTTCTTAGGCCCTTTATACTTGCAAGCAACAGCAAGAAACTCCCACCCAGGCTGGAAAGAGCCTGTGGGGCTCACAGACCCCGGGGAGAGCTGAACAACCACACATGAGGACAGCCATGCAGCCCCCTCTCTGGGGCACTGCCATCCGGGGGCTGGAGCGGCTTCCTCCTGGCTCCTCTCTTCCCAACTCCAAATTCAATGATGTCTCTCTGGTAGCTTGAACTAGGCCAGAGTGAGAGTGTTCACGTCCCCCCAGAACCAGCAAATGCTCCCGGCCCCCTTCCTCGTCATGCGGGGGCTCCCCAGCAC